TTGGAAACAACCATTAATCTATTTTATCTTCTCCTGGTTGTAGCATCTTCACTTCTTATGGGTTATCTGGTTACACCTATTTCCACATAGTTTTGTTTGTTCTTTTGTCAGTCCATGCTGTTGTTGTTGTTACATGCCGTCGAGTCATTTGCTACTCATAGCGACCCTATGTACAACAGCCCTAAACTGTGCTCTATCCTGTGCCAATCTCATTACCCCCGACACACCCATCCCAAGTACCCCAGTCACTGAATCAATCCACCTCATAAGAGGGTCTTCCCCTCCTGCGCTGTCCCCCTACTCTACCCAGCATGATGTCCCTCTCTAATGACCTGTTTCTCCTTACAATATGTCCAAAGTATGTCAGACGAAGCCCCAGATTCCTTGCCTCCAAGGAGCAGCCTGGTTTAATCCTCTCTACGATGAAGCTGATTGTTGTAGGAAAAGTGGTGGGGGCATGGAACCAGCTGCATATGACCGTTAATAACTTGACAAAAGGTAACAGTCCCCATCAGTAACATCTACAATAGAAAACTAATTCTTAGAGGTCAGATGCGGTCCCATATCTATTTCTACTAATTCCAGTACCAATTTTACGGCTCTATTATTATTGAATCCAAAATTCTTTGTAGTGGCCACAGAGATGTCACAGAACCATACTTAAAGGTAATAGGATTTATTTGGGAAGATAACAGCTGTTCAGGACAGCAACAGGAAATAAGTTCTCAGGCTAGGCAGCTTTGCAAGTGTGCTCCCCATACTTTGACCTTGAGTCTCTTGACCTCTCTAGGTCAACCTTTGGCCAACAGAGCTCTCTGAGTCCTGCCAATTATGGTGTCTTTCTGCAGTCCTCAAGCAAGATTGGAGGAAGGCCCCTGGCTCTGGCTTTATGGGTCAGCAGTCCCAAGTCAGCTCTGTCTCATGTGGGAGTAGTTCTCTTCTAAGGCAGCAGCTGCTTTCATATGGGTCTCAGCCTGGCTGGCGCGGGAATCTTCAGCCCCAAAGGATGCAACACTCCATTCTCTGCTTCTTCTATCTTGCTAGTCATGAGAGTCCCTCTT